TATGCTGATTGATCAGCGTTGTGGTAATCTGTTGGAATGTGAAAACTTCTGGATTGGGACCCTTTTGACTAATCGGGGAGGGTTAAATGATAGTCATGATTTTGTGCAACAGTGACTTCTTTGTCTATTTCTAAGCTTAATTAGTTATCATTATTGTAATATTTGCATATTATTGGTGTATATATATACGTTAGAAATTATTAGTAATATTATTTCTGAGGAAGGCTGAGACATTCAGTCGAAAATTAAAACTTTATTACTTTAGAACATTTTTAGTATTGGTTTCTCTCGGATCGTAGCCAGCTATTCTGTTGTATATATATATATATATATATATATATATATATATATATATATATATATATATATATATATATATATATATATATGTGTGTGTGTATATATATATATATATATATATATATATATATATATATATATATATATATATATATATATATATATATATATATATATATATATATATATATATATACATATATATATATATCAAATAATATTATTCGATTCTCCAGTTATATTGCCGACACTTGGTTTCAGCAATGGATCTAACCTGACAGTCCAAGAAGGAATTCCCGTTGTGCTTACCATTGAAGTGACTGGACCGCTAACAACTGAAATTTCTGCAACGTAAGTCAACTAACTTTTGCTTCAACGGCATCGTTTCACGTACTGTACATTAATGAGTTTGCGCAAAAATATCCAGAAAATTGTTGTATCGCTCACTAATTCATTAACGTGTTTGAATTATGTGTTAACTTGGGTCATATGCATGTAGCAAGTTCAGTTATTCACATAATAATGTCAAATAAACCTAGCACAACTTTATGCAAAACATGCATGTGTTGTGTAAGTTGCATGAAAAATCACTATTAAAGTAAACTGATTCATGAAGAAATTAGATAGTTTAATAAGGATAAATAGAAAAGAAACATGCAGTTTTGATCGACATATAATTGTCTGTCTTAGTTTTTCAACGCATGCAGTCATAATTGTAATATAAATTAAAAGACCTAAGTTAAAACATTGAAAAAGTACTTCCCAATTGTTACAAAATATGACTAGAAAATACATGCATGCAGAAACCCTCGCCTTGCTGACAAAACCATTGTATTTTCCGAACATGGAGTATATATCCAAAGTTGTTGTTATGGTAACACGATAATTTTTTAAGAATATTAATCGCCTAATATCACTTTTAATTACAAAATTATCAATTTCCCAACATATATATGTTAGGTATGTTATTATACGGAATATAAGCTTCAATTTAAGGTAATTAAAATGTTCTTTATAAAACAGTATTAAAACTACCCTGGGTGCCAGAGGTTCTTCCAAGCTGGAAGGGGGGATAATGAGGGATACACGAGGATTCGAGCTGGGAGGCGGCGAGCGGGAAGAACCTCTGGAACACTTCTATGGTTTCTCAGATCGAACCGCACCAATCACGATGCTTAATAGTGTGACGTGATCCGGAATCTGGATCACAGTATTAATTGGTTAACGGCAGGGACTTGTTAAAACAATGACTTTCATTAGCAGTTTGAACCGTATGTCCTTCAAGATATTATCGTTCAGAATCCGTACAGGCATACGCTGTTGTTTAATATAATAATATTATATTTATAACATAGTCAGGCGTAAATATATATGCCTCTAGTTTTGCGAGTCTTGCGAGAGGATTTCAACAACTCGGTCGCGGTTGATTCGATTTTGAATTTTTTTACTGGACGGTGTTACAAAACTCAATAAACATCAAGATGATGCCTTGTTTCTGTGTTTCAGTTAATGCATCGCCGTGATATGTTTGCTATATTGCCAAGAGGGAATTTCGTGTGCGTGGCTGTCTAGTAATCAAGCATGTCAAGACAAGATGGGAGTCTTTATAGGCCTATTTATATCGAGGCGAATTACCCGGCAAGTCGAGTTTATCAAGTCGTCAACGACAAGATCCCGGCTATATTATAGAAACTTATAGTAAATCCGGGGGACTGTCTACATGTAGTAAAGAGTATAAACTCGCCAGTTACGAGTTCCCGGAGAAAGAGGCGAGATATTGCTTTCGGCGATATGAATAGTTACCATATTATAAACAAAAGATGTTCGGGTATTTGTTAACTCGGCCGCCCGAGATCGAATGTATGTGTATAAATGTATGTGCTTTGCATTTGAAATATAATATATTGTTCAAAAATACATACGAATCATTAGTTAAGTTTTATTCGCCAATTGCAGAGTAACTCGCCTTCGATATAAACAGGGCCTTGGACGGCAAATATTCGTTTGTATTATATGATGAACAAGAAATGCTTCAAAGTTCAATCTACCGAGGCGACGATCCTTTTACTGTATATACTAACTCCCCACTGTGAATAACAAATTCACCACAAACTCGACAATACTCGTCTCCGCTTTTTTGTAACACTTTTGACAGGTGTACGGTCTAATGCCATGTGGCCATATAATATTATTCGGTGTATTTTACTATAAAGACTCGCTAATTTTAATTTTTTGTTTTGAAATTGACACATTCTGTCGCAATTTCCATCGCTCAAATGTTCGGTTGAACACGCCCAAATCATCATCAGTCAAAAATAAATACGGTCCTATTGGCTAACGTTTGATTGACATGTGACAGTTAAAACAGTAAAAGCCATAGAAGTGTTCCAGAGGTTCTTCCCGCTCGCCGCCTGCCAGCTTGAATCCTCGTGTATCCCTCGTTATCCCCCCTACGAGCGTGGAAGAACCTCTGGCACCAAGGATATATTAAAACTTCCTTTAATTCAGTTAAAATGGCTTTATCGATAAACTTTGAGTTTGCAATAAAATGATTTCAAATTCTCGCATGCAAATAACTTTGCTATCTTTTTTATTTAAAAAATTCAATATAGGCCTAATAAAAAAGGGAATCAATATTATTAATACACTGAAATTATATGCTGTCTTGTTTTATTAGTTGTTTCATATACGCAAAGTCAAAGGGCCAAAGCGGACGTCGGGTTTTAAAGCAATTATGAAATCAATATTTAAAACAAACTTACCTTCGTTGACGTCGGCTCCCTTCTTTTAGCCGATTCTTTCGCTCTTTCTTTCTTGAAATTTACAAAATCTTGCAAAAATGCGAGCAAAAATTAAATATATTTGCAAGAAATTTATCAATCATCAAATCAAGAAATGTTTGCTATTTCGCTGTCGTCATACAGTCGACAGTCGTTATAATGCAAACTTTAAATTGGACCAATCAGTGTCCGCTATTCATGACAGTCCGCCATATTTTTGAGATCAGTGAGGATGACCACCCACCGAACCACCGAACCACTCACGGTAACCCACGCCCGCGCTCATTGATGAACTTTAGACTTGGCTAATGCTTTCGTTTCCCCGGGTGTAAATAGCCGGGGGGAATTAGTACCCTCGCACGGCGCTTCGCGCCGTCGGCTCGGGGATTAGAATGGGGATCAAAGAAACTATATAGAAGAAATAAAGCCAGGCTGGCAATAATATATAAGTTCTCCAATAGTCTGTTGTGGAGTGAAAAAAGAACGTGTGGCAGCTATACCCTTATAAATATAAACTGCAAAACGTTAAGGAGAAGGAACAGTCCCTTCTGCACGTGTGCCTGGCGTTTGCTTGCAGGGGAACGTCTCATGATTATATACATTTTAAGACCTGACCAGGAACGACTGCGAAAAATGCAGCACAAGGTCCGCTGGTAGGAATTGAACCTACGGCCCTGCGATTCCGGTGCAGCGCTCTAACCAACTGAGCTACAGAGGCCAGCTGTTGAGCTGTAACCGTAAGTTCATCTATATATCCGATTACCTATATATACATGAACTTACGGTTTTGTGCTGCATTTTTCGCAGTCGTTCCTGCATGGTCAGGTCTTAAAATGTATATAATCACTTGGATTACAAACCCTAACATTCTAATATTATTTCCACCAAGTGAAGTGCAAGAAACCACATCATTCAAGAACCTCTCATGAACCTCTCATTTCCAGTTCTATACATGCGCGATGTTTCGGAGTGAATTGCAACTTTTATGAAACCCAATCCATCTAATAGTAAACTACATGTAATGAAACATGATCTTGTAAGGGAGCAGCCATTATTAATTACGAGGGGTGGGGCGGAAGATATTTTATAACTCTTGATAAACTTTTCACAGCTCCTCTTCTACTCGGGATAATTTTTCATGATCCACCCCAAGGTTAGTGTTACTTAAACATCCCCCCCCCCCTTGCATGAAGCATTTGTATACTGTATCCCACCTGGGTTACCGTTTCCATATAACCGACCGTCCAAAGATAAACGTGAAAAAACTAAGCGACTTTCCGAGTTATTTGATGATTCAGAATCTCGGTCAACTGTCGCAGAGAAAAATGTAGGGGACAGAAATCTTTACGACATAGCAATGAACCGCGTTAAAATTTAGTACGCTACGTTAAAGAAACAAAATAACCAGACATGAACTTGAAACTGCTCAAAATCCAACGTCTAACGAAAAATTCAGTTCGTCCCCATCATGCATTTGGAATGCACGTATAGCTAGGATATAAATTTTCCACTTTGGTTAGTTTCCCTAAATAATCCACAGACAGCCTGGCTAGTGGAAATAAAGTTAAAAATCCCAAAAGAAATTCATTATCGAAGCGTACGATCAAAGTAGTATTTAAAACACGAAAAGGAGTGTTTTATCATATTTAAAACGCCAGACGCAGCCGTGCGTTTTAGATATAATAAAACGCGAGTTCGAGTGTTTTGAATAGCTTAAAATACGACTACAAAAGAATACTAATTAGGATGAACAATTATATCAGATATAAAGTCACTCCACGTGTCATATTATGGCTGACATGATTTGCCACAAAGTTTATGAATTTTTGATGAGTATTTTAAGGGTTGTTAGAAAACTATAAGTTACTCTAATTTTTAAATCTATATTAGTGGTTCATTTTCACAGTATGTATGGCGTCAAATGCTCAGTTTGACTAATACGATTATATTTCCTTTTTGTTTTTATTATACTTCTCTGACAAAGTGGATTTTATCATAGTGGACCATATTTGGTCTTTTACTATATTTCCTCATTTTATTTAGGGCTACAGTTTTATTTGCAAGCGCCAGTGATGCAGATTTCAATGCACTTCCGCTACCTGGCCTGAACTTTAGTCCTGGTAATACTGACGAAACAATTACTATAGCAACCACGGATGATTCAATTATTGAACCCGACGAGGTCTTCGTCGTCACTCTATCAACAACAAGTCTAAATGTGCAAATTGACAAGGTCAAGGGAGTTATAATTATTACGATCAATGACAACGATGGTAAGTGTATTGAAAAAACATTTCGGCCAATGTAAGGTAATCCGGTTTTCACTCGTTGGTTTCCTGATTTCCCTCTTTGGAGTCCGTACTCCGCTCCTTGGATTCCGGAATCCACTATACATGGATTCCGGATTCCAGAAAATTGGCCCAGGATAAGGATTCCAGATTCCTCTGATGTTTGGACTCTAGATTCCACTGTCTGCATGGATTCCGCGAATTGCAAAGCAATTAAAAGTCGGTTTCTGGATTCCTGGATTACAACGTGGCAATTTTGGTAACAATTTACTGACTGTGTAATATGTTGTGTATATACATTATTTACCAAATGCATTCACATAATATACCAGTCTTACTATAGCTATAGTTGGAACTTGTTCCCGTACAAAGCATATGTATTATAGTTTCGTTTCTTGTAAATGTATTTTTATATCTTGCTATGTTTTAAGTGTTTTGGATTGGCTTGTAACAATTAAGTAACTAAGTGGAGTTGTTTGTGTTAAAATTAATAATTAAAATCGCCAAAACTTGATAAAAATCGCTCTCAAAATGCTAAAAAAGCCTTGTATAGTGACCCTAGATTTTAAGAATTTTACGACGGAGTATACTCTCCAAACCATGCACAAGTTCATTGTACTATATTAATATGCATGGACGTCAGCCTAATAGTCATGTATTCATGTATTTTCAGATAACAAACAAACAGATTATATTGGAACTAGCGCACTGTGAAATTACTTCGACGATCTTTTCGGCTTCCCTTGGCGGTGATTCAGTATCGCAAACAAATTGTAAGTCTTGAAATGAAATAACTCATGGTAATGGTTTTATTTCTAGAAGTTCCCGAGTCCGCTTCTTCACTAAACAATAACACTTATGTCGTTATTGGAGCCGTGGTGTCAGCGGTGGTTGTCCTAGTAATGGTAGTCTTGATCGTTGCTTGCTTTCTCTATCGACGAATGCCTAAAAGAGTGAACGAGCAAGATAGTGCAGATAACATTCAAAATCCTGCTTATCGTGACACACAACCAGACGGAAGTCCAGACGAGTATGCACAACAAAGCAGTTTCATAGGAGGTCCCATCGACGCCAATTGTCAATGTTTGAAAACCAGTGATCAGGTGCAACCTGACAGAAGTCACAACTATGAAAATGTTCGGCGGTATGCTTTATTGAACACGCGTAACAATTCTGGAAACGAAGTTTTTGAAGAAAATGTGTACGAAGTAATGCACTAATGCTTTTATTTGAGCGTTAAAACTTATGGGATTAAGGGGAATTTATGTTATTTAATTATTTTAATTAATATGCAGCTTTGTTTTGACTAAGTTTTTACCAAAAACCAAAACATTTAGCGGAACTTCATCAAATAAAACAAGAGAGTCCACTTTCATTTCTCACTCGAACGACAATCGCCGGACATTGAAACAGTTTGTTATAGCCTGGCAATGAGGAAAACATTGACAATTTACTAAGTTAGTATGTTAAGGTTGTGTGACTTAAAATCGCTTTACATATAAGACGGGAAATTGTAACACGAAGGCGAAGCAATGGAGGAAAGCAAACATTTTATCGAAAAATACCCTCAAGCGCGAAGCTAAACTCTCTCTATTTCAAAACTTCACTTTCGATTCAGTGCAGTAAAATTTAAGCATACTTTTTACCTTTTATTTTATATATTGGACAATTTAGTAGTCGCGTGCATAAAATAAAATAATTATATAGTAATGGGTAACCATAGTCATAGAGAATACATTTACAGCTCAATAGATAATTGAAACTCATTTTGTGTTAAAATGTGCAAGACGGTATTGAAGATTATTCCTTTTCTTTGCATGATAAATGAATAAAAACGAAGAAGACTTAGTGCATGATGTCAAATATAATGACCAAAGTGCCTTAGTTTGGAATTAGAGAATATTTGGATATTTACAGTTTGGGCTTTTTATACTGGCTATATGGAAGCTTTTTATACTGGCTATATAGTCTGTTTCGACTGAGTAATTTAATTTTATTAATTAAGTATAAATTATATAAGGGTATATGCATGCATGGAAGATTGGTTATAATAAAAACTGTAATTTGTGGGTTTGTGTACATCTTGTTGTGATATACGCTGCATATATTCCAATTCCTGAAAGAGTCTTGTTCTATAATGCAATGATCAAGCCGTTGTTCATGTACTGTAGTGTTGTTTGGTCTAATTGTAGACAAGACAACATATTGAAACTTTTCAAGCTTCAGAAGCGTGCCGCCAGAATAATTTTAAATTTGGAACCACGGCATCCGTCTATTGATGCATTCAATCAACTTAATTGGATTCCTTTTTATGTCGAATCAGATATCAGGAGGTGCATGTTGGCGCATAAACGTATTAATGGTGAGGGACCAGAATATCTGAAAGATTTTCTGGTTTTGAATAACGAAGTGCACTCTCGTTCATAGGCGTACCGGTTCCGCGACCTCCCCCCCCCCCGTCGCCAAAAAATTTTCGGTCAGTGTACCATTTTAGGGGTCAAAAATATTTTCCGGACATACCAAAATTTTTCGGAACATCACACAAATTTTCAAAATAAAACAAAATTTACAACAAAATTGACTGAATTTTCGACTAAATTTACATAATTTGTCCCAATTTTTTTTATTACAAACCAAAATTGCCCGACTGTTCATCGAATATTGCCCGACTGCCCAAAAAACTGGGGGGCTACCGCCCCCCCCCCCGCCCGGTACGCCTATGCTCTCGTTCCACACGTGGTGCAGGACTGTTATTTAGAATGCCGAAATATTATCGTCAAACTGATGGTGGTAAAAGGTTTTCAACATGCACAAGTAAACTTTGGAACAGTTTACCGCTGAACATAAGATCCATTGCATCAGCCAAAACATTTAAACGGTCTATTATTAACATGGGCGTACCGGGCGGGGGGGGGGGGCGGTAGCCCCCCAGTTTGTTGGGCAGTCGGGCAATATTCGCTGAACAGCGGGCAATTTTGGTTTATTAAAAAAATAAATTGGACAAATTCTGTCAATTTTGTGATGTTTCCAAAATTCGTTTGTTAGGTTCCGGAAAATTTTGGCATGTCCGGGAAAAATTTTTGACCCCTTAAATGGTACACTGACCGAAAATTTTTTGGCGACGGGGGGGGGAGGTCGCCAAAACAAATTCCGGAAAAATTTTTTCGGCACGTGTCGGGCAAAATCCGGAAAAGTGGCCACAGGTTTGTTAGTGTGAATTCACTATTATGTGCTACCCTCGTAAAATAAAGTTTTTCATTCATTCATTCATTCATATATATTAAGAGGCAATTTGTTTCTGTCAATCGGCAATATCTAGTGTAGTCAAACGCTGTTTTCCCAAGATATACATGCAGTCTAAAATGTCTTTATATTTTCATTTTAAACCACATTTCTCAGGGCACACGCCTGGCATTTTCGCACGCGAAATTGCACATTTAAAATGTAATAAATTTTTCCTAAACCGCGCAATAATATTGGGAGCCTGGTAGCGAATTTGAGAATTGTAAAATTGCTCAAATTTGCCTGTGCATGAACTGTGCGTAAATATGACTGACAAAAGGAGCAAAATATGTAGTTCTATGAACGTCGCCAGTTTAAAAAATTATCTACAAGAACGTGGAATTACAGGAAATGGATACCTAAAACCTGCTTTAGTCGAGATCGCTTTTGCAGTACAAAAATGATGTTGCCTATTGACCTTTATTTTCAGCGTGATAATATTAATGACAAGAATATTCAAAATTGTTTAATAATTCATGATATTACCCAAGTATGTTTTTGGAGTATTTCATGAAGGTAAAGTGCAATTGCTTATCTGCTTATCACTTTATCACTTTATCATGTTTTGTTTTGAACTATCAATGGTTTAGTTTCAATGATTTAATACACTTAATAAACTTTACCTGTGTATGACTGCGTCTCAATATGAACAATAATTTCAAAGACATTACCTTGTACAAAGTGTGAAATTAAAACAGTGAGTGGAATATAGGCTCAATTTCTATAAGGTTATGTGTATCATACTTTAAATGTTTTTTTTTCAAATATCTTAAATTATATATCGCCAAAATGAACTTTCTGGATTCTACAGGGAATAGATCTGTATGAGAATTACCCTGCCCTTTGCACACAGAAGAAACATTCTTGGTTCACCAGAGAGGAAAAGCCCATAACAAAAGAGTTGACGCTGAGAGATATTGGGAGACATTGCATGCCCTTCATGTTATGAGACATAAAACATTGTAACATGAATTACAATTCCTTTCTTATCTTATCTTTGCATGTAATGTCTTCCAATATCTCTCAGCATCAACTCTTTTGTTATGGGCTTCAATTCCACTCTGGGGAACCAAGAATGTTTCATCTGTGTGTAAAGGGCAGGGTCATTTTCACACAGATCTATTTCCTGTAAAATCCAGAAAGATGATTTAACTATATATAATTTAAGATATTTGAAAAACATTTAATGTATGACACACATAACTCCCAAGGTGTAGAAATGCAGCCTATTCCACTCACTGTGTTAATTTCACACTTTGTACAAGGTAATGTTTTTGAAATTATTGTTCATATTCAGACACAGCCATATACACGTAAAGTGTATCAAATCAAAGAAACTATATAGTTCAAAACAAAACGTGATAAAGCTGAAAAGCAAATAAGCAATTGCACTTTTCCTTCATGAAATATACTCCAAAAACATACTCAGGTAATATCATGAAATATTAAATGATTTTGAATATTCTTGTCATTATTATCACCAAGTTTGCTTGGTTGTAAATTTACAATGTCCGCACATTAAATATCAGTGGAATAACACCACGTAAAAAACTAAAATATTTCCATATCATCCGTGCAACATATACTCATGTAGTTGCTACTCGTCTTGTTGCTGTTGATGCTCGAGAGTAAACATTGTTCTTCATCATTATGGGTGGAGCTATCAAACTAGCACCACGAAGAACTAATAAGTCTTGGATATTAAAACCCTTGTCTGCCATTATGCAATCATCTGGTTCTATCTGATCACTCCTTTCCTTTCATGTAGTTTAATGTTGAAAAATTAAGTAGAAATTCCATCTCTCTCTAAGAACAGCACCCAAGAAATAAAAATCTTGCTACCATTTCCAGTAGATATATCAAAAGTGGTAAACAGTATAATGTTAGTTTTCTCTTTAAGTGGCACAAGGGTAAAAGCAAGCTGTTCTTTTGTGATGAGTTTAGTGCAATTTTGCTTTTGCTATAAAATAATGATGATAATTTTTATGCTCGTATACTAAATGCATTGGTGACAAACACAACTTTTAACTAAATTGTATAGTGCTTCTAGACATTCCTTTGTTAAACCTTCAAAAATCAAAATATTAACCCATTAAGCACCAGCGCTCTCCCCTTGACGAGTAAAATTAACTGGCATTAGACCGGTTAAAATGTCTGGCGTTAGACAGAGTAAAATCGTCTGGCTTTAAACAGAGTAGTAGTATAAGAACTGGCGTTTCGAGACCACTAGTTTTTTCCTTCGGTAAAAATTAATAATTTATTTTTTTATTATATTAAAATTAATCATATATTTTTATTATATTAAAATTAAATGGTCTTGCACCTTAACGAGTGGGTTCGCGAGACTTCAGCAGTTCCATGGTCCATTTAATTAGAATGTGAAACTGCTATTCTTGTTTTTCATTTAACTTATTTCAAAGCTTCGGGATTACCTTACCAGTCCAGCTGAGACTCTAATACAATTATCCTACACTTTTCCAATATCGTCCAATTCCTTTATCCAGAGCCTCTTCGGCAACTTTTATTTTCTCCTTGGGGGTACACAAGGCAGGGGCCCTTGTAGTCCGGATACACTGTTTGCGTCATCCTTTTTACCCTGTGTGGTCACCTCAACCTTAATATCATTGGATACAGAGAAATTTATATCACCAACCTTCCCATTTTTATTAGAACTCCTACGACAGCCACAGATATTACCCAAACAGGAGAAGCATGAGCGCCACTTTGACATGATACTTTATGATACAACACATGTTATCCACCTGACCCTGAATACCGTGATGACCAGCAAAAAGACAAGTCCATACTCGTACCAGTTGGCATTGAGTGTTCTGGTTTAACTATAACACACCAAGCTAGCGTGTTATCTACCAACTCAGCCTGGTTTCCTAAATAGAACATACTATTACCCTTGAAAACATAGCAAGCTGTACTTCCA